GTATTTAAAATAACATTTAATATTCTAAATACAGAAGCGTTTGTGAATTACATGCAACAACGGCTTGCCGTACACCATTGTGTTATATGGAACAAACTCACTAACTCCGGTTTCACACTGAAAGCACCAGCGGCGCGGAACTGCTGCAGATGCAAGATGGAGGTATACTAGTTGCCCCCCATCGTGGTGCCTGTACGTTGGGGTTTACCCCGTTAATTGAGAGGGTGGCCTCCCTCCGGTCGGGTCCTGACTGTAGTTTGTGTTTATGCACCAAAATGCAGCTCAGACCACCCATCCTTTTGGAGACCCTGGAGGGGGTGCTGGAGAGCGCTTCTTCCAGTGACTCCCTCGTTCTGCTGAGGACTTTAACACTCACGTGGGCAACAACAGTGAGACCTGGAGAGGTGTGGCTGGGAGGAACGCACTCTCCTTGTTCACGAGTGAGGGAAAACTGGAGCACAAGATCGATTGGCAGATTGGTGCAGCGTCTGCAGTGATGCGGGCATGGTACCGATCTGTCGTGGTGAAGAGAGAGCTGAGACAGAATCTACGGTCGATCTACGTTCCTACCCTCACCTATGGTCACGAGCTTTGTGACCGAAAGAATGAGACAGCGGAAACAATTTGCCGAAATGAGTTTTCTCTGCACAGTGTCAGGGCATTCCTTTAGAGGTAGCTTGGTAATCTGGGAGGGGCTCTGAGTAGATCCCCTGCTCCTCCACATCTAGAGGAGCCAGTTGAGGTGGCTCTGGCATCTGATGCCTCCTGGACTACTCCCTGGTGAGGTTTTCCAGGAATGTCCAACCGGGAGGAGACCTAAAGGGAGACCCAGGACACATTATAGAGACTGTGTCTCTCCCCCTGGAAGAGCTGGCCCAAGTGGCTGGGGAGAGGGAAGTCTGGGCTTCTTGACTAGGCTGTTGCTCCGCGACCCGACCCCGGATAATCGGAAGAGAACGGAAAGATGGATTACATCATTTGATCTGGTCTTCTACTTTTTGGCAGCCATTTCAAACTCATTTGCATGCGACGATTTTCTCCTCAAAAAGTTATTTCTTTGTTCACTGCTGCCAAATCTTCATTTTTATTGCCTTGCAAACGAGTCGACAGAAAGCACCACCTCACCAGAAACACAAAAATACACAAAAACAGCCGAAACAGAGAAACTCAAACATTCACAAGAACTAGGAAGAATAGGGTTGGATCATGAAACACTGAAATCGTAGAAAGTGAGGGAAGGATAAATGGACACAGTAAAATAATAAATGCCTTTCAAATCAGGGCTTTATGTGCTCAGGAAGCAGGATTTATGGAATCGAGAAACAGGAAGGCAATTTAAACCATAAATTGAAAAAAAATAAACCTCAAAAGTGATGGGAGCTGTAACTCTATTTTAAGTAGCCTACAGGATTTCATATGACTTCTGGGAAACTTGGAATTTTGGGGCTTTTTTATGTTATCTGTATAAAATCAAAAGCATCACTTTCGTTATGGACTATTCTTCCTGACAACAGAATTCCCAGAAATGACCGACGCTGACTGTAATGTTGGAGGGAAATGAAAGACTCCTGGCAGAGGAATGCACCGTTCTCAGCATGGCGGTATGCAGCGCTTTCCCTTTCATAGGGGGCGTTGAGCAGAGAGTTTGTGTGCAGAAATCAAAGATTAAAATCTAATTGAACACATGACAGATTGTTGAATCATGAATGAAAGTCGCCCTGACATTCCCAGAAGATCACGGCTAAGTTAGGCGGGAAATTCTGACAAGCTGTAGAAGAGTTTCTCAAGTCTATCCAGACTCTCTGACGTGGAGGTCAGTGCTTTTTTTTTCTACAAATGATAAAGCTACACAATGCCAGCAGAGACAGAAGGAATGTGGGCACAGAAGACCCTCTGTTTGCTTCATGCATTTTCCATGATCACGTTACAACTAACGTTCAGCAAGTGGACAGCCCTGGTATTGTCACGACGTGCAGATCTTAGTTTTAAACCTTTAAGCGGTTGAATCCCGGCTCAGTTTGTCTGAAGATGAGAGGCGGAGGCGGGGGTGAGAAAAGGCATCTGGCCTCTGGAGTTTCTGTTAAAGCACAAGCTCACGTTATCAGTGCTCAAACAAATCATTAGTTACTACTAGGACGCGCTTTCGCATCCACTCAGGTGCTTCTCCATTTCTGTTTCATACTCTGTCCCCGCTGTTGCAGGGAGATGTGCAGCAGGACGTTGTGTCCTGGGGTGATGCTTTTTCTTTAGCTAAGAACAACAAAAGTGTAGAAGACAGCGCTAAACTGAACTCGTGTCACTTCCTCTGTCTGACCTTTTTTTTTTACTTCCACGTCCTTCACATACCTACATGGGGTTTCCAAGCTCATGTCACCATTAATGAGGCTTTTTTCCCTTAGAAATCAGCAGCAATGCAGGACAAGGAGCTCATTCTGGGTTTTACAAGTTATTGTTTTCAAATCATCTATTATTTTGGTAAGAAATGATCTTTCTCATTAAAAAGAAGTGAAAACGTGTGATTCTGAGTTTGTTTTGCGTGATTTTTTTTTATTTATAAATAAACCTAAATAATTAATGGGAAAATAAACCCTGATGAATTCAGGGGAAGTGGAACACTCTTTATTAACTGGATGTTGTCTTTGGCAGCTCCCAGCTCTTGTTGCTGGGAATCACAGACTCCCTGTAAGAAGATGAAAGCTTTCCATGAAGCTAATGATTTGCACCACCCGCCCTCAGCTGTAGCCTGTAGACGTCCCAGACTGTGGGGAGGAGATTAGTGCATGTAAGATTGTTGTGTAAGTAAAAGATTGTTTTACAGACTTCGCTGGAATGTTAATGTTTGTTTTTCTTTCTTTAGCATTCTATTTTTTAGAGCTTCTGTTGTTGCAGACCTTCATCCATTAACTCCTACTCCTCTCACATGATGAAATGTTGAAATAACTTTTGACCCCCTCGGAATAAAGACAGCAAGCTATGCAGAATATTTTCTTTCCGAGCGCACTCACATCCAGGATTTGACGAAGTCCTGGTGTTTATGCGTTGTTTCTCTGGGTCAAAGGCGCCCAGGGGGAATGAAATGACACTTTCTGTTATTCGTTATTCCATGTTGCGATCATCCCCAAGGAATTAAACAACCCCACAATGACTCCGCATTAGGCAATCCATTCCATCATCACATGGGGGCGAATTTGATCTTATTTGAATAAAATCTAGCGACTGGTTGAGAAGATTTCTTCTTGTGAAATCAAAAACAACTGGAAACAGGATGTGACTGGGAGAAAGTGGAAAGTCCAGGCTTGGCTGAGGGTTAGTATTTATGCTTCCTGAGAGGCGCCACAGTTGCAGAAAGATGTTCGTTTGTTTCAAGTCAGGATGCTGATGTCGTATGAAGACATCTCGTTTGAAGACACATTTTTATGTCATGACTTTCCAACAGCAGATGTCGTAAGCGTGACTTCATTGTCTTGCACGTAATGTGGTCTTTTTTATTAGGTTGTATGTTTTTACGTTTGTTTTACTTGTACTTGTTGTTGACTGCTGCATTGTCCAGCACCTTGGGCGTCCAATAAGGTCGTGGAAGGGGCTTTACAAGCAAAGGGAAGCCAAATGATCCAGTTGGCTCCATTTCTGAGTCCCTTTAGCAGCTGAATAAAATCAGTTGTGTTTAAAGGTGTGAAACACTGAAAAAGCCTTTAAATTCTGATTAGAATAGGTCACTTTGAGTTTTTCATGCAGGCCTAACATAAAAATAGTCTCCTACACCGATCTCCTGCATTAGCTTCTGATGGAAAACAGACGGTGAAACTCCAGGATTTGAAAAGCCTGACAAATTCTACCTCACACTGTCACTGAACATTCATGGACTCTCCCGTCTTTACGAGGGAGGCTGTTGTTGTTTTAGTGTCTAGGAAACAGCAGAGAACGTCTTGGCTAGTAGAAGCTAACCGTTAGCAATAGCAAGCACCACACAGCAGAGCTCTATCAGGCTTGGTGTCCCCCATGAAAACGGCTCACAAAGCATTCATTCCTACTAGAGACCACTGCACATGTATTGATGAAATGAGTGTTCCACACCTTTAATCTGAAGCAGACGTATGTGGGTGGGAACATAACAGCTGGTGGCCTCCAGATGTGTGGGTTGTGGAAATGGTTGAAATGTGCTTTAACTGTTAAGCTGAATTTTAAAAAAAAGCTGGATTATTGAACAGTAATAAAGAAAAGTTAAACTCTGGAGAAAGATTTGTTTAAAATACTTTCCTTTAGCTTAAATCTGCACAGAGGCAACGAGGGAAACTTATTTTGAGCTTTTCTTGATATTTTCGCTAAAGAAAATAAGCTTCAAAAGCAGCTTAAATTATGCTTTTACTTATGCTGCTTGTAATTATATAAATGCACATATTTTAACATACATGCTTGAGTATTTTAAATATTAATGTATTTAATTTTATCATGTATTTGTCTTTTCTAACAGGAGAGTGACTTTAAGATGACAAATGACAAAGTTGGAGAATTAATTTGATCTCAAAATGACCCCAGAAGACCCCGTTAGCTTTAATAAGCAGGCCTAATTCAGCCACTAGCGAGGAACGAATAACACCCCACAGTGAGATCCAGGAGCCGGAGGCGGGGCTTAAACCAGACCCATCGCAACAGACTTTGGGTAACAGTGTCACCTTTTTTAGCCCAAATGAGCCAAAATTCCCACACTGAACCAGCTCTGTTTAGTGCTTCTAGGTCTATCATGTTCTTTCTTCTTCTTAAGTCGTGGTCTACTTTGCAGATTTATTCAAAATAAATAACAACAATTTAAATAAAGTGTTTGGTTGGCTATAATGAAACATATAAGTGGTGCCAAAAAGTTAAAAACGGCACATTTAAAGTTCCTGACTCACGAATGAGTCAGACGCTCATGTTCCTGTTCACACACAAACCACCATCAGTGTGTGTGTGTGTGTGTGTCTAGGAGGGAGAGAACGTTTTAAAGAGTGCTGAATTTCTCTCCCTCCCTCTTTTTTTTGCATTCAATCCTGTGATTTCCAGCAGCTCAGCACAGAAGAGCCGAGCCGAGCAGCAACACACCACAGAGGGAACATTGTTCACATCCAGAAAGCAAACCAACCCAATGACTGAGTGGATACTGTTTCTTCACGTCTTTGTGGGGCTCGTTCTCTTCATGGCAGGTGAGATTTTGTCATTTGTGTTACATTAATTTCACTTTGATGCCTTTTATCGTCTGTTATGTTTGTTTTACTGTTTTGTCTGTCACGTGAGCTGGTTCCCAGTGAGCTCCATCAGAGAAAGAGAACAGAGTTCTCACTGACCATCTCTTCAGTAGGATAAAAACTCCCACCGGGGAACAGAAAACTGCAAGTGCATTTTTTTAATTTTAACCAAAATGGAGGAGCAGTGTTTAAATGAAATTGTTTATTTATTGTTGAAGATTCTCTTGAGATTTGGGCGATTTTTACTAAAATTCTCATAAAGTTTTAAGCAGAACAACCTTCATAAATAATTGACTTCCTGAACCAGACTTGCATATGATGTGTTAAAGCATCAGTCATTTATTTAACACTTTGGTTTTTCTTCACAGAGGGAAATTCAATAAGATGTGATCCCAAAGCTCCATTTAGGATGTGGTTTATTATACAATTACATCATTTTACAACTTCAAAATGAGATGATCACAATAAATTTTTTTAATGAGTAGCCTATTGTAAGAATATTAAGACTTTTTTAGGTTTCTAAACTTAAGTTGTTTGATATGAAACTCAAAAACTTAGAATATGTTGGAAAACTTCATTTATGGCTAAACTAATCAGAGACAGACTCATTACATGCAAATCCAGATGTTTGTTATTTTATTATAATTGTGGTGATTATGGCTGACAGCTTATAAAACCCCCACATTCAAAATCTCAGACAATTAGAATATTGTGAAAAGATTCAACATTCTAGACTCAAAGCGTCAAACTCTAATCAGCTAATGAATCCAGAACACCTGCAGAGGGTTCCTGAGCTTTTAGATCAGGGGTGGGGAACCCCAGCCTTCAAGGGCCGCTATCCAGCATGTTTTAGTCGTTTCTCTGCTTCATCATGGTTGATTCACCTGATCAGGCTTTGCAGAAACCTAACCACCTGCTGATTAAAGTCAGCGATTTGAAGCAGGGTGACAACTAAAACATGCAGGATAGCAGCCCTCGAGGGACCAGGACTCCCCACCCTGGCTTTAAAAGGTCTCTCAGTCTAAGCTGAAAGAAATCAACTGTTTCAGCATATTGTAATTTTTCCAGTTTCACTTTTACTTTTAATAAATAGCTGTAATAGAGTCAGATGTTTTGGGATATTTTAGGTCAATGTCTGACAGTCTAACTCTTTTAACCCTCGTCATTTCCAACTGCCTCAGTAAGCATGATGTTTTTGCTTTCGTTGCTTGTTTTGATGCTGAAAACAGAAAGTGAACTAAGTTTGCTAAGGCTGTCTAATAATGGAGCACTTTTGATTATATTGGACCAAGACTGGACATTTAGAATGAAACTGCGTTGTTTACAGCCTAAAGGATGAGTTTGTTCATGCTAATTAGATTTTTTTGTGGGGAGAATAGTGAAGGTCAAACATATCTGGTGTTTTATGCGATGTTTAGCCAGAATATTGTTTGCGTGTTAATTTTTTTAGAATTTATAGCTGTTTTGCATTAAACAAAAGCAATGTGGAGGTTCCTTGGGGCACGGACATCAAGGACATCAAAGATTCTAAACATTTTAAAAAGCCAATGTCTAGTTTGCTCATTCCTGAAGGAAACTGTTCTTTCACGTTTCAGGTGAACCCACATCCTGTCCTATAGAGTTGAGCCCTATCAAAGCTGTGGTGAAACATGGAGACCCAGGTTCTGTTAACTGCAGCACATCAGACGGGACATCAAAAGAATTAGGATGGGAGGCTTCACAGGGAGGCACCCGTAAATCAAACGCCACAGATTTACCGTGGGAGGTTGTGAGTGTAACAAACTGGGGTATGAAGCCCATTTGCTATATCACCAATACTGACTGTCAGAAGACGGTCGACCTGGTTATTTACAGTAAGTGTTGCTGGTTATGCAAACATCATATTGATATCATAGATGTGTTTGATAATCTGATCCTGTTCTACAGCATTCCCAGAAAGCATCAGCTTCAGGTCCAATGAATCCAACGATGAGATGACAGAACACAAGGCCCATACCTTTATATGTGACATCTTTAATATTGCACCAGTTCAAAACCTCACTGTCCAGTGGTACAAAGACGATGCTGTCATCCACACAGCCATCCTTAATGATGAAACAATGGAGCCCACAAATCTGTCCCCTGCCTTCACATTTATACCAACGAGAGCTGACAGACGTGTCAGGTTCAGATGCGAGGCACGGATGGACTTGGGGCCAGAAGGACCACTCTTTCACGCGTCTTCAGCAGAATACCTAACAGATGTTTTGTGTAAGTATGTCATTAAACATCAGTTATTGTTTTGCTACAACACATTTTTCAATTCTGACACTAGCATAAACATTAGTGATGCATTTTCATCACCAAGTCTCGCTTGAGACTAAGCTGCATTTTTACAATGACATTTAATGGAATAAAACGATAATAATAGAAAATGGAACAACTAATCTCCATGTTGCCTTTAAATAGTTGTTCTGGGTTATTTGTGTTTTTCTAGTTGGACCTGACATCCCGTGTTCGACCATTACGTTACGTGAGGGGGAACCTTTGAAAGAGCAGTGTAAAGTGACAGGAAATCCCAGCCCGTATGTTGAGTGGCTGAAAAACGGACATCCTATAAACACGAGCGTCCCTCTGAGAAGAAACGATACAGGAACATACACGGTGAAAGCTGAGGGACATGTCTTATCTGAAAAGCAGATCCAGGTCAATGTGTTTTGTAAGTGTTGCGTTCTTTCTTGGATGAAACACTGAGGATTTCCCACCACTAACATGCACCTTTGAACTTTTATGTAAGCAAAGGAGAGTAAATACAGATGTGAGGAACCATAAAAATATGTTAAGTGCCTTTTCGTGTCTCATTTCAGATGGACCAGAGTGGACATGTCCACATGTATACAATATAACAGAAAACTCTCATCACGACCTCACATGTTCTCAGGGTTTCCCCAAACCTGAGGAAATCTGGTACAAAGATGGGGAGGAGGTGGAACTTCCACAGGTCCTGACCAGAAGACATGCAGGGCAGTATGTGGTCATGGTTTCAACTCGCAGATTCAGTATACACATCAACGTGCTCTGTAAGTTCTCCACATACTGTTTTTGTCTTCAAGTGTATTTGTTTTTCTCTCTTATGAGTTGTTTGGTTTGGTTTCTGTAGACCCACCATCCGAATTATTTGAGCTTGAAGACTCTGAAGTCCAAATCGGTACCAGTTTGGGGTTGAAGTGCTCTTCTGCAGGTTCGCCACGACCAAACTACTCCTGGATTTATTACCAGGCGACCAATGTGATGGAGGAAACTGAGGATGGAGTGTCTCGACTAATGATCCACGATGCTACCGGAAACAACATGGGTCTCTATACTTGTCACGCCTGGAATGAGCATGGATATGTCTCCAAAACAGTCACAGTCACTGTACAAGGTAGGTACTTGCTTTAGAAGGAATGAATTTACTACGAGCTCTGTTGGAAAGCACTATCCCAATAAATAGAACAAAAGTTGACAAAATCAGGTTGGGCTCTTGTAGGCTATTTTAAAATTTCATGTTGTATTGCTTTTGTTCACTGAAATCACAGAAGAAAAAGAAGGGCCTCAAGCTGCTGATGATGAATGCAGATGCTAGCCCTTATGGAAGTTGCGTGTATTATGTTCCAGGTCTGGAAAAGGATAAAACAAAAAAAGTATGAAAAGCACATTAATGCTCATAAGCTTTTTAAGAAGTCATAACCCAGGTGACTGATCACCCACCAATATAGACAAGACAGTGAACCACAACCCAACGCAACAGCCGCCCTATGTACGGCATGAATGTGGGAATATGAAATACGCTGTAGAATATTTAATACGTTTTAGTGACTTGCACAACATAGAACTCATTTCTAGATATTTGCAGAGGTTTTTAAACTTATCTTCCTCATTGTCGGCTTCAAAGAAGTAGCATTCTTGTCCGGCAGGACTGATGAGCTACGATCTGGTTTCAGCTAGTTCCAACCTTAAGTTTTTGTAAACTTTTAAACTGCTGTCGGTTTCACAAATCATGGATGTTTGTGGCAGAAATATTCAAAATGTCTGCTTGCCTTGACAAAAGCAAACTTTTGTAAACAACAAAAATATTTTGGGGGAAATATCTGTAACGTGAAACTGAGGCTAATGTAAAGGATTATAAATTAAAATGCAATTAATTGTGAAATTTTGAAGATTATAGATGTTTTAAAACATGGTTACTTTGTTCTTGGCTGCACTCAAACTGTTAGCTAATCAGTCCTGAGGCTGTTGACATTACAGACAGCAGTGCATTCTGGGAACATGAGAATAGACCTATGTGTACTGAGAGAAACAACACGTACGAACCAACTAGTTATCATCACTGAAATAGAATGGCGTTTGTACGACTCTGAACTAAACAAGCCAGAGGACTTCAGTTTTAGAAACCTTGTTCAGATTGTAAATAAGGTGTAGCTATTTTTAAAAAGTAAACATTATTGTTGTTGCTTTTTGGCTCCTCACCTTTTTGGTCGCTGTGCTGAATTCCACTGCAAAAACATTACAACAGGTCTGGAAACAAATGAATGTGGTTATTGGATAATTACTGCATGGGTGGTTATCTTTCTGCTGGCAACAAGTTATTTAACCCCGTGGAAAATATGCTAGTCTGTGTGAGAAGGGTCAGATCACTGGCATGCATCAAGCAGAGAAAACTTCTAAGGAGATTGCAGAAACGACTAAACTGTTCAACGCATGAAGGATAACGGGGACCCATCGTCTCCGGAGAAGAGATGTGGCCTTAAAAAAATCCTGAATGATCGTGATTGGTGATCAATTAAACGTTTGGTGAAACCAAATAGAAGACAAACAACAGTAGAACTCTGAGCTATGTTTAATAGTTAAAGTAAGACCATTTCCACACGCACACTGTGAAAGGAACTACCTGTAATATCCAGTATCACGTGCTAATATCTGCTGATAACATTGGTACGTCGATAATTTCAAACATCCATAATCATAAAACTACAAGATTGTGCTGAAGAGTTTGGGTTTGATAGTCAAACTCCACTATGTAAAATAAAAAACGTGGTGGCCTCAAGATCAAGCTCTCTTATACAATAAAACTATAATAAGTAACACAATCACTCAGATATTCAATATGATGATTATTTCCATCCTGAGGAACATTTGATATAATTCATGGGTTTTTTAATAACCTGACAGCTGCAGGCTGAAGGAACAGTCTGATGGAAGTAAGATTACCTAAAATCACTGTTGATGAACAACTGGTAGCAACATCGTCAACATCTGCTGTGCTGAGATGGTCGTGCACCAAAACCAAAGCTTTTGATGGTTTTATGATGTCGCTGACTTGGCATTGACCATAGTTAAAGGTGTGGGACTCTAAAAAAACATTTCTCTATAACTATTTCTGATTATAATTGGTCACTTTGAGTTTTCTATGCAGGCGGAACATGAAAATAGTCTCCTACACCTATCTCCTGGATTAGCTTCTGATAGAAATTAGACAATGAAACTTTAGGATTTGAAAATCCTGATAGATCAAAGTCACACTGTCACTTAACATTCATGGACTCATCCATCTTGACTTATGATGGCTGTTGGTTTAGCATCCAGGAAACAGCAGACAACATCCCCTCCAGTAGAAGATTACCATTAGCACTAGCAACACCACCACACAGAAAAACTCCTCCAGGCTTTTGTGATTTGTGGCAAGTCAGTGGAGTCACGTTGGTGTTATCCAATCAGAGGCAAGATATCCAAATATCAGGAAATAAGTACCTAAATCCCACTGTCTGCTGCCATTCTCTGCTGCAGCAGACTTGTCTGTGCTGACCATTGACATATATACTCGAATTATAAGTTTTTGTGCCCAAATGGGAGGCTCCCACCACCGCTATTTTGACCGTGTCACAGGTCCCGACCCATCACGCCCAGACAACCCAAAAATGGGAAAAGAGGGTGTTTCTCAATGTCAAGGTGCCTGGCCTTGCGAGGCGATGTCTTGCGAGGCCAGGCGCCTTACTTACGAGGACACTGTCCTTCCTTGGTCAGTTAGAAAGCTTGCACTTTTGTCCAAATAATTCCATGATTAACATCCAAACACGAACACAAACACGCAGACAAAACTAAAGTTCAGAGAGTCGAAATGGCAGAACATCTATTAACATGAGGCCGAGGCCCAGGCTGAGGCCTCTGGAGCTCTGAAGTCACATGGATGCTCATTAATTATTCAGATTTTAAGCATTAAATTCCACTTGAACAGAAGAGTTGCCATTAATGTAAATTAGAACTATTAAACCTAAAATGATTTTTGAACCAGTAAACATGTTTATTTCTGCTGTAAAATTGACATTTTTAACATGGGGGTCCATCAGGATTTGCTCTCTTCTGCTGCCAGACCTTAGCGGATGAGGGTGGAACTGCAATTTTTGTCACTTCCTCAATAACTTCAAATTTGCTGCAGCTGACCCAAGCAACTCTGTTTTGTTTATTAATTGGGGGGGGGGGGGGGGGGGGGGGGTTGCCCCGTGTGTGGCTTGCAAGGCATTAATTCCTACCAGATACCACTGCAAATGAAGTAATTAAACTAGTTTCCCACACTTTTAAAAATGGAAAGAAATTTACAAAAAAAAAATACAATGCTAATCTTTATGCAGAAACACAAAACAAAGTCGTATAATCTGTATAATATAATATAATATAATATAATATAATATAATATAATATAATATAATATAATATAATATAATATAATATAATATAATGTTAATATAATATAATATAATTTAATTTAATAAATAATATAATATAATATAATATAATATAATATAATGTTAATATAATATAATATAATTTAATTTAATAAATAATATAATATAATATAATATAATATAATGTTAATATAATATAATATAATATAATTTAATAAATAATATAATATAATATAATATAATATAATATAATATAATGTTAATATAATATAATATAATTTAATTTAATAAATAATATAATATAATATAATATAATATAATATAATGTTCATATAATATAATATAATTTAATTTAATAAATAATATAATATAATATAATATAATATAATGTTAATATAATATAATATAATTTAATTTAATAAATAATATAATATAATATAATATAATATAATATAATATAATGTTCATATAATATAATATAATTTAATTTAATAAATAATATAATATAATATAATATAATATAATGTTAATATAATATAATATAATTTAATTTAATAAATAATATAATATAATATAATATAATATAATATAATATAATATAATATAATATAATATAATATAATATAATAATTTAGGGTTGGGTCCTTTTCACCACTAGGCTGTGTTTAATTATGTGAAGCCTGTAGCTCAGCTGTTACATTCATGGGCATGGTGGGAGTGTGTGGGATGCCATGAGTCTGTGCCCGGTGTTTGAAGGGGGGAGGGCGGGTTTCCTGGAGCAGGGAGCCGCTCGGTGTCTGGAACCGTAGCTTAGCTGTTAGCCTCCTCCCTAACCTCCACAGAGGAGCGGGGTCTGTCCCAGCCGCAGCCGGGGAGAAGCAGGACAAGTTCCAGCGGAAAGAGGGGGAAAGAGGCTTCAAAGTCCGGTTCAAAAGAGTTTCCTTGTTCATTTAAATCCAATGGAGGATTTCAGCTCTCTTCGTCTGGCTGTAGTTCTTATTCTAGAGCTGATGTCGCTGTCTAACGGGAAAGAGTCGAGTAAGTTGTCAGAAACTCTTCCAGATCTGTTTTCTTTTGTGTGGAGACAGAGATGTTTATTAGGGAAAGCCTGGGTTGCCTGTGCGTTTAAATTAAACCAGATTAAACATGACTGTTTTTAAAGGTATTTTCCTGGGACTGTTAACGTCTGAATGTGAGGAGCCAGGTTATTAAAATAAGGGACAACTTTTTATTTTTAAATGTTTTACTTGAAAATAGTTACAGTCGTGATCATTTTATTACAGAAAATTTGGAATTACCCCAGCATGACATATCTAACTATTACAGTATGTAAACAGCCCAGCTGAAAGAATAGTGGGCACTACTAGTACTGGCTAGATTATGGGAGGGGAATATCCTTCCTGGGCCATTTCCTTCTGCCTCCAGTGATACCATTGTCCCTAAGACCTTTGCCTTTTTCTTGTTCCATTTCACTACAACACTATACATGGAAATGTTATCACTCTCAACCTGCAGGCTGAATATGGAATAATATTGGTTTTCTTCCACCTTCCTATCACAGGTGCCAAGCTGGAATGCCCCATTAAAATAACTCCAGACACCATGGTGTTGCAATACCAGAGCAGAGGGCAGTCCGTAGACTGCAAGTCAACAACCAATGAGACAAATGTTAAGGAAATATTCTGGACGACTCAACAAGGCGACACACTTCGTAGCAGCGCTTGGTTTGCTGACACCCATAAAGACTGGGACCCTCGTCCCGTTTGTCACGGGGAGTTTAGGGGAATAGGAAACTGCTCTAAAGCTTTACACTACATCCTCTACAGTACGTCCGCTCAGTTTCTGCTTTAAGTGTTCTTCCTGCTTTATTGTTCTATCTGAATTTTCCTTTAAAAAAAAATCTGTCACCCACAGAATTTCCAGAAAGTGTATTGATTGGGGTCGTGGATGAAAGGAGTCCAGCTTTGGTGGGCACAGTTCTGCAGCTGCAGTGTGACATTGTCAGTGTTGCTCCTGCACAAGACCTTAATGTGAGGTGGATGTTTAAACGAGGCAATGAAACCATTAGGCCTGGTACGTTTTTTTTAGATTTAATTATAACACCACTCTGCTTGTGTTTATGATGCAACAACAAGCAGCATAAATCCTTTTTTTTTATGTTTCAGAATCGGTGGGGGTGAGCAACGCCACAGGCTGCAGTTTCAGTCCATACAGATCTCCCGTAAACGTGTCGTGCATCATGAACATCACTCTACAAAAAATTCACAACGATATTCAAGTCCAGTGTGTGGCAGAGCTGAACCTGGGACCTACACTACCACAGCCTCCTAGCTTGACGTCCAGCCCCCTCCGCATCACCGTGCTCTGTGAGCAGTACATCGTTGTAACACTTGGATATCGGCTGTGGTATCACATCAGCAAACTACTCACATTGCTGTTTGTCTCTGTACAGATGAACCCAGAATTAATGCCACAAAGCTTCCAGAGACGGTCCCGGTGTTCAGAGGTTACCCTGAGGTGCTTGTTTGTGAAGCTGATGGTAACCCACGCCCAGTAATCCAGTGGGAGTACAGCTCACAGACGGCACACGTTGAATCTGAAGGCAAACTCAATGTTTCTGATGCTGGCGTCTACATCTGCAGAGCTTCTAATGACCTTAATTCCACAGAACGAGTGGTCGAAGTCATTTTATTGGGTAAGCCATCTTTTGTTTCACAGATTTTGTTCTATTCAGTGGAGACTTGTTATAGAAGCTAATCTTGCAGCAGGGTTTCATGCACATCGTTACATTTATTCCTGTGGTAAATAAGCTGAGATTTGACTGATTCTCATTCTCCTCTTTGGTGGACTTGAGCACAATCCGTGGATTACCTTTGTGTCCTCCACATATTCACCAGCTCTGTAGCCCTCTTTAGGTCTTTTAGGTCTGAGAAGGTTAAATCAGCTTTAGCTCTTAGAAATGAACTTAGAGACTTCAGTTGAAGGCTGATTGTTGTCTGCACTCCTACAGGTTTGATTTCTGTTATGAAACTGCTGGTTAATATGCAACAGGTTCAATAGTTTACTTAGGGAAGTCGATGGAAAGTGCTGTGCTAAGCACAAAGAAGCTTCAACAACAAACATGACAAGTTCCACTTTTGTTAAGGTGACAAGCCTGAGGCTGCAGAGGGAGTTGGCTCACCTAACATAGGAAGGCCCAAAATGAAAAAGGCCAATATGCACACATATGACCTTGTGCTAAAACCCTTTAGTAGCAACCAAAACTTTTTGAACGTATTGGTGTCTAGGGCTGAAGGATGTATTGTACTCAGATCAAAATTGCGTTGTGAAACAGCGCAATCATGAGCTCGGCCAAACTGTGGGTTTTTATTGTGCTTCTGACTGACCCAGGATCAGTTGTGTCAACTGTTTTACACATCCAGGCTTTTCCCCAGGTCTTAAAAGTTTTAAGGTGGTAGCAGCAAGTGCCGGTGAGTGTGGGGGCTTGTTGGAGCCTATTGCCTGAGTGGATGCAGCAGTACATTTATTTATTTTTTGCATTTCTTGTTTTTGTGGTGCTACTAGGGCCAACGTGTGTTTGGCCTCAATAAACCAATCACATCCTGGACATCACAGCCTCTCTTCAGGGTTTTTTTGTGGAAAATAATGGCTTCAATCTTCCAACAGCGACTTCCAGACCGGTACTGTACAATGGTGTTTAAAGCGTCCTACATGGGTATTGGGATCACGCCAAATGAAGCAGCTTGTCAGCAACTCTGAACATAGTAACACATTATTAGGAAGTGGTAGTCAGGAAAAACACAGGATTTACGTGCTGAACAGCAATGGACAAACTATCAAAGATGGAACCAAAGCTGCTTTGAGTTCAAGATGGAAACTCTGCTCAAGAGGCCTGCTTTGAACTTATAAAAGGACTTTTATGGTTCCTAATTAAATGAGTGTTTTGTATCCAGCTTTCTCCTCCTTATGCAAACCGTACAACAAACGCCTTTGTATTTTCAATCTGTCCAAGAATATGGTAAATACATCTTTTTTCTAACTAGAATCATCTTTCTTCTTCCATTACAGAGGACTACCTACCCCTCATTGCTGGGATTGTTGCTCTCACAGTGGTGATCATCTCCATCATCTTCATCTTCATCTACTCCATCTACTACAAGAACACCAAGATGCGTCACTACAGCCTCAAAAACCCAAAATTCAGCAATCAGAATGGCAATGTGGCTCACAATGGCTGGGACATTCAGCTTCCTGTCACCAGGCTGCCCTAGCAGTGCTTATGCTGCATCTCTCTAATGGTGTTTTTTAAACACTGAACTCCGTTCAAACAGCAGGCTCACTCCAGACAGGCTGGAGATAGTTTCTTCTACTTCAAACATCTCATTATTCTCATCTTTGTCTCAGCAATTCTACCCCCCAAAGAATGATCTTTTCATCCAATCAACGCAGTCTCGGCTTGAGTTGCACAATTGTGTCCACTGGATTTAACCTCCTATCACTGGACAGAAAAGGAAAAGAAGGAAGAGTACTTTAAAAGTTGGCACTGTTTTTATACTTTTGGTTACACAAAAAGGGAAATTTACACTGTTGCATGTTTGGTTTGGGTTTCAGATTTTGCTCATTTGTAATATACTCAGATTTCTGTGTCATTTCCTTAACAGACACAATTTTAGTATTAATGTGTCACATTTGGAGCGCAAACACAGAATAGCAAACATTTTAAATGAAAATGGGTTAAATCGCTACAGATATGGAGACGTTTTGGACACTTTTGTGTTTGCACATCATTTACATGTCATTAGATTTTGTCCTGTTTTGGAGCCACACCGTGTCAGGCGCTGCCTGAATGAAACAAGTTATTTTGTTCCACATGTTTGTTATTCAGTGAAAGACTGCAGGATTTATAACCTTAGATGTATATTCAGGAAAATATTTGATGTAAAAGCAAAACTTTATATTTATTTATGAAAACAGTGTGAATTTTAATGTGTGTGAACATTGCTGACAGTTGTTGAACTGTGACGTAAACGAGAAGACACTGTATACATTTGTAGATACTGTTGTAAATATGTGTAACTTGTGCAAAACTATTTTAATAAAAATTAATGCTTTTTCAGAGCACTTTGTTATAAAGGCACAGTCATTTAGTCATTAACAGAGCTTTACACTAGTAATTACTTGGAAAATGATTAAAGTGACTAACATTTGCCTTGAAAAAAAAACAAATATACATTTCAAATAACCACGCCTAATGCTCATGAGATAAACACACTGCTATATGAACTGTTGTATTTTAATTGCGCAATCATGAATGGGGTTTTATCAAGTGCCAGATGTTTATTTCCCAGATTTATTTTTTTTTACCTCAGAAGGTAACAGTTTTATGGATGTAAGTTGAACCGCAGTGGTAACTCGGCTGTTGTGTAAACTTTAAAAGAAAAATGGGATCAAGTAGCAGCCCTGTTTAGAGCTCTCCCGAGCGCCCTGGAGGTGAATGCTTTCAGTGATGTCTGAAAAATCACCACTGAAACGCGGCGGGAACGTGTTTGGAGGAAATACAAACTCTGCATGTGTAGACCCACACTTAAATGTCATTAACTGCTTCTTTATAACTCAAAAATGAAAACGTGATGTTTGGGCGAAACTGAACGCAACAGCTGGAGTTTTATATTTTTGTTTGTGTTGGGCCAGGGTGTTGTACGTAGTGAACTTAAACGCACCACGGGTGGATTTCGGGAGTCGGGACGGTGTAGTTCCCCCAGACCTCCTGATGTGGGTTCTCGGTGTGGGACGTCTTCCTTCAACCAAAGACTCTTCTGTGCTCTCCTTGTTGGTGAACCTGTGACTCCATCACGATGTTGCGCTTCCTTTTCTTCCTACTTCCACACGCAGGTAAATGTTTCATCTGCTGTGCTTGCTTGACTAGCTGTTCGTGTGTTCTTACTGATGTTGGCGAGCCTGCGCCCACTGATGGTTCAGACTCGCTCATAGATTCAGATTTATTGGCCAAGTAAAATTACATTTACAAGGAATTTAGCTTCGGTAGATGTATAATAATAAGAATCATATTTGAAGTACAGATTTCATTAATCATTTAAGAGAATTTGGACCTCTCGGAAATTAGTCGTCCAGCTTCTACATGGGTTAAGCTTTAAGCTAACAAAGTGAAAGTATTTGGGACATGGGCGTAATTTTCACTTTGGAGGTGGAGGGGGGAGGGGGGGCGGCTCTAGGTAATTTGGTGCCCAAGGCGAGACTGCTCCCCCCCTCCCCCCTCCCCCACGTGCCTGCACGCCTCTCACCCAAACCCAAACCCAAGTCCACACACACACACACACACACACACACACACACACACACACACACACACACACACACACACACACACACACACACACACACACACACACACACACACACACACACACACACCAAGCAACTTAACCCTCTGATGCATGAATTACTTAAGAACAGTACCACTTTCACATTCAATATTCCTCAGTCATGTGCAGTGATGCTTTTCATTATTTTTAATGTTACTGGACTTTTTATTTTATTGATCTTTTTTTAATCTGTTCTATGAAAACATGAATAAAATTATCAAAAACAGGTGGAAGTGAGTGCATCCATGGGGAATATTTGAAAAAACTTATGTCTCACTCTCAGGTGCTCTTCAGCATCAAATAAATTGTAGAATATGAGGAAGAAGAACCGGTGATCTGAGGCACTCTGAGGATTTCATTTATTAAACAAGGAAACGCCGACGCGTTTCGGTACGACCTTCTTCAGGGCATAAACCTTTATGCCTTGAAGATGACTCACTATGTCACAAAAACTAACGTCCATCCTTTTTTACAAATTTACAGCCTAATTGACAATAACATCTTAAGGAGACAATTTCAGATGTGTCTGTTCAGATTATTTAATATTCTCAATGCTGCACAGACTGTGCCAAAAACAAGTGTCTGGTGTGTATTTAAATAAATCAATTTTGCATATCGATATATGTGATAAGCCGTTTGATTTGGAAAAGTCCGTTTCTACTGCTGATTACAAATGGCCTAACAAGTAACTTACTCACCTGGTTCTAGATGCTGAGATTGTAGCTCAGTAAATGTGCTGCTGCTGCGTGATGCCTGGATGAAGACGCTGCAGCGTAAACAAGAAAGAGACGGCATAAGATGTCATGCTGTGTTTAGGCAGTGCGATAGGCAATTCTCACTCCCCGCCGGGCAGTAGCGGGGGAGTCCCCGCCACGGCCGCGGCGGTGCCGCCCACCCGATGTGAAGGACAAAGTTGAAATTTTGCTACACCCACACCTAGCGTTCTTCTGATATGAAAATATTAAATTCATATTTTATGCATACTTAAAACTTGAATCGAAGTTCATAAAAAGGCTGCAATCATACTCCAAAAAATGGTAAAAAAAATCTTACATTCATCATGATCACAGTGAGGCTCAACAGGTGTAGAAAGACAGTCCCGCCCCCCTGGTGTCAACAGGTGCCTGTCGACAGGCTGCAGATATTGTCACTGCATCTGGACACGACGATTCAAAAGTAAAAAAATTGGTTAAAGTTACGAGATACTGTATTGTGAATGTAAACAGCTAGCGAGGGTCCGTCCGTGGACCGTGTGTGGCAGGAGAGGCAGTTAGCTAAAATTGTAACGCAAAAAGTTCCTTTGCCAAATTTATAAAGTCTACATACCTCTGCTTTGGGCCCATTTTTTTCTTCCTCCTTCCTTCACTTTCAGAATGCTGATCCCGATGGCTTAGGTGTTCTTTTCATCGTAAAATATCAAAAGTTTAAATTTGACGACAACAGGATATCCTTCTACAGTGCTACCCACACACGTGATCTACGGCACCCTTAATGGTCAAATGCATCGGAGCGGTGGCCCAAGCGGGAGCTCGTCATGCAGCCAGATCATTAGAATTTAAATATTGATGTTTTAATTTCATGTCATTTCAGAGGGGAATTTTGAGTATGTAGAGAGTGCATTTCATATAACAAACATAAATTTAATAAACCTTTTTATTTTTTTATTTTGCGCTCTATCCATCAGATGGCGCCCCAGGCGACCGCCTGTGGCAAAGCCGGCCCTGGGGGGGACACGGGGGGGGGGGGGGGGTATCCTTTCAGTATGTTCTAATGGGAAACAGGCTTCAACACAAACGGTTGTTTTCTGCTTGGTCCTAGAGCTCAACCAGTGTCAATTTAATATAGCGTAATATTGTTTTTGGATGGTAAAAAGTGCGGGGGTCAAAACTTGACTTTGGAAAAAGTGGGGGATCATGTCCCCCCTGTCCCCCCCCAAAATTACGTCCATGCCTAGGGAGAAACATGGGATCCTGTTTCCCCCAACTGCTAGAACCAACAGCAAAATTCAAGCAGGCAGAAAAAATTAATATTAAAAAAATTAGTCTCTTAACGTGTTTAAATCAGACGTGTCAAAACAAATATTTAATCATTATTTCATCATATTTCTAGTCAAAAACAAAAGTTTTTTAAGGAGAAACAGATTAGAAAAGTGTTCATATTATGAATGTATTAAAATTAGCCTCATCGCTCATATTTCTAATAATTAAGTCTGAAATTTGCGGTAATATTAGAGAAGATGTTCTTACATTTAATTATAAACCATAAAATGTGAAATATCACAAAGTATGAAATATCACCTTAATGGATCTTTGAGTAAATTTAACCAGAAGATCGGATCTTTTTATTGCAGGGATTGAGCAACGCTTCGTATCAACTTCAAGAAAGAGAGAGAGTCAGGTTTAAAAAGTTAAAAGATTTATTTCTAAACAAATTAAACAAGACTAACTTTAAACACTAGGTGAATGGTGTAACTAAGGTGAAGTAAGACTGAGAATGGTGTATGTGTGAAATATGTTCAGAACCAGCAAATCCAGAGAAAAGATTAGTTCCGATGGGAGTGAAGAGGATGTTTCGCTCTAAGCTTTGGTCTGGAGATTATAACACATATTGAGACGCCATTCTGTCGGTCTACGTACCCAGCGGAAGTCCCCGTCTAGATCAGGAAGTGTAGAGGCCCAGCTTGGACCTTTCTGGGGCCGAAGCCTGTAGCACAGCCGCGGCTGCCGACCAGTCCTGTCTTGAGATACTCCCAGGTCACAACAGTTTTATTGGCATCTAGCAGGACCCTGAAGGATCGTGATGGTTCAGCTTTTATTCTGAAGGAACCGTTGCAGCAGGTGGAACATGCATCAGATTTAATCCGGCTTGTCGTTAGGTTCTTTTGGCTTTAAGAGGAAAGTTACGGATTGGCCACTCCGATAACTTCTCTAGAACGCTTTGAACTGAAGTTAAGATGACGTGGGTATAGTTTTAAAATGTGGATGTTTTGATTTACGGTCGAATCAAAAAAGGACAACAAGAGGGGATTTACCAAGCGCCAACAAAACCACGCCTCGCATCAGATCTGGACGGTTCTGATTGGATCAGAAAAAAGAAATGTGTCATGTGACTTAGCATGTGATCATAAACATTGTCATTTCACAGATTGGTTCACACTTTATTATTGGACTAACACTTTGTTTGATTAGCTTATTAAAAATAGAGAGAGAGTTCTTTGATTTATTATTATTTAAATGGAAAGAGTTCTGTCTTGGCGCAGTGGTTAGAGCTGTTGCCTTGCAGTAAGAAGGTCCTGGGTTTGCTTCCCAGCCTGCAATCTTTCTGCATGGAGTTTGCATGTTCTCCCTGTGCGTGCGTGGGTTCTCTCCGGGTGCTCTGGCTTCTTCCCACAGTCCAAAACAATGACTGTTAGGTTGATTGGTCTGTCTAAATTGTCCTTAGGTGTGAGTGTGTGTGTGCATGGTTGTTTGTCCTGTGTGTCTCTGTGTTGCCCTGCGATGGACTGGCTCTCTGTCCAGAGTGTACCCCGCCTGATTGCCTGTTGACCGCTGGAGATAGGCACCAAGCCCCCCCGCGACCCTACATGGACAAAGCGGGTTCAGAAAATGGATGGATGGAGTTCTGTCTTCTTTTCTTCTTTCTTGTGCTGTTCGGAGAAGCAATAGTTTAGATAAGCACAGAGCATAAGTGGCCTTGACCCATCCTTGTAGATTAGGTTTATGTCAGAAACCTCTGGTTTTGCTTAGAGCATAGCAAATCAGAGCAGGACCTTTTAGGTCAGAAATGGACAATTCATCACGCTACATTATGCATCACACCAACAGACCAGTAACAACAAAATTGTTCCACAAATATGCTTAATATTTACCAATATATGCAAATTCTGCATAAAAAACAAACAAAGCTAATTTCACAAAGTTACACCTTTGCCGGTTTAAGGTTGTAATAATCAGCAGAGTGTTCAAAAGTCTCTGATGCCAAATTCCATCATGGTTCTTCCTAATAACAAAACTCCACAAGGTGAACTCAGCTGCTCTACAATTTCCGGTTCTGTCCTGACCTGAGCTGAGACTAGGGTTGCAGGGAATAATCGGTTTGACTATTAACTGCAGTTAACCCCCATAAAAATGGCTCCAACGCCAGCTATAAAAAAACAAAAAGACAATAGCGCGATTCGCAAGGACAAAAACAAAAATGAAACCGAACACGCAACAGAAGCAGAACCACCGCGGTCAAGTGAGCCGTCATCACAAATGACGGCTCACTTGACCGCGGTGCAGAACCGCGGACAACAACCGTCGGGACTGCTCCATTTACACCTAGGAAGCGGTTGAAGTCTCCTGTGTGGAAACATTTCAGATGTATTCCCACACAGGAGACTTCCTAGGTGGAAATGGATCGGTCCTGATAGTTGTTGTACCCGGTTCTGCTTCTGCTGTGTGTTCGGTTTCATTTTTGTTTTTGTCCTTGCGGGTCGCGCTATTGTCATTATTACACACATTATTGCAA